TAACTTATTTTGACAAAGTCTTGCACAAAAATGAAATTTTTAGCAAAAAAGTTTTCAAAACATAATTTTTAAGCTGGTTTTTAACATCAAAATAAGTCACTTTTGACAAAATCCGGTAATTTTTCGAATTTTTGTAACAAAATCTGCCCAAAAAGTTTCATTCTTGGCAATTTTTGAACACAAGTTTTGTGCTTAAAAGGTCAAAAAAGCACGAATTACTTGACTTTCCGATCTTTTGTTTATACATTCGAGAAAAAGCAAAAACAACATCATTAATTTGGTGATTTTTTAAATTGATTTGACGAAATCTTGCACAAAAGTGAAGTGAAATGAACAAAAAGTCCAAAATAACATTATTTTCGATCCAATTTTGCGATTTTTTGGCCTATTTTAGTTAAAAGTTAGCTCAAAAATTTGCTTAAATTGTTAAAAAATTCATATTTTTGATCAGATTTGGTGATTTTTCGGTTTGTATCAGCAAAAAAGTTTGGAAAACATAATTTTTTAGATGGTTTTTACTATCAAAATAAGACACTTTCGACAAAATTTGGTGGTTTTTCGGATTTTTTTAACAAAATCTGCCCAGAAAGTTTCATTTTTGGCCATTAAGTTTGTACTTAAAGGGCCAAAAAAATGCATATTCTCGATCAGATTTGGTGATTTTGCGGTTTGTTTCAGCAAAAAAGTGTAATTTTTGGATGAAAATCGTGCTTTAACACATATAAATAGCACCATTTTTGGAAGAATTTGTTAATTTCTTGACTTGTTTCGACACAATTTCACTCAAAAAAAGCTAAATTGAGCAAAAATGTATCTCAAAAACGCTTAAAAATGAGCAAACATAATATGATGTTTGAGAAAATGTGGTGATTTTTCGGCTTGTCAAAGCAAAATTTTGTGAAAACCAATGCGTTTCTGAATGAAAACGTTCTTTACCGTTCAAAAAAGGCAAAAATTTAGTGACTTTTTGGCTTTGTTTTTGACTAAAAACTTTCTTTAACACTCTAAAAAGGCAAAATTTTGTAAATTTTAGGCTTGTTTTGATAAAATCTCGCTCAAAAACGAGCAAATCGAGTAAAATATCCCAAAACAAGGTTAATATTTGACTAATTTGATGACTTATCGGCTTAGTTTAGCAAAATATAGTAAAAAAATAAGTTAAATATTGAAAAAAGCAAAAATATTTTGAATGAATTTGGTAATTTTTTTGACTTATTTTGACGATAAATTGAGTAATAAAGTAGTCCAAAAAATGTGACACCAATTTGGTCGAATTTAGTGATTTTTCGGCCTATTTTAGCAAAATATTGCGTGAAAACTAACACGAAAACCTACTCAAATAGCTAAAAATGTAAAAATAACACTATTTTCAATCAAATTTGATAATTTTTCGGTTTGTGTTTAAATAATGTCATAAAAATGCATAACATCATTTTTGGTCGAATTTGGTCATTTGAGGCTTAATTTCAAGCTAAATTTGAAGAAAAACTGCGTTTTAACAAAATCCAGCAAACTAATTTAATCTCAAAATTTCTTCATAAAATGTTCAAAAACCCTCTCAATTAAATTTTATCCTATTGTAAAGTAGAAAATGCCGTTACAAGACTAAAAAACCGTTCCAATTTAATAATGTTTATTTGTCTAATTTACGTTTTTCGCACTTAAATTCGTTTTATTAAAATGAAAATTTTGTTCGTTGGAGCATCGTTAAAATAATGATTTTATCGTGAGAACCCACGAGCCCAAAGTAGGTTTGTTATTATAAAAATGTGGGTACTCAGCATTGCACAATTCTTCAAGTTCAAGAACCTTGAAGCCTAAAGCTGAAAAAGTAAAACTATTGTTTGATTGGTAATCTGATTGTGGTTCAGTTTTCTGCAACTTTTAAGGCGGGCTTCAGGTGAACGAACTTAGAATACTTGAGAACCACTGTGGCTCTGAAATTTATTCAGTATTATTACACGCTTCAGGAGTGTTTTTATTACGGGTTAGGTGTGTGAATTTCAGGGTCAGAAATTTCAAAATCGATTTTTTTTCGTTTATTTCTTCTCAAATTAATTACTTTGACACAAATATAATTGTGGGGCTTCATGAGACAACACAGCACTTGCCTCTGGCACGTGTACTACTGAAATTATGACACGTGTTGCTCTATTGAAAACGCAGTTCTGGAAATACTGATTATAGAAATAAAAAATAAAACTTTTTATTGTTTTTATAAACATGACATTTGTCCTTTTATGTTGTGAAGTTACGGTAGAGTGAAAAGAGTAATTTCTCGAGAAAATAACAATAACAAGGCGGATTATGTTCTTCGCTAAGTACACGTTTCAAACATTGAAACAACCATCATTATGCTATCTACAGAGTGTTCCAGGGAGTCCACTAATGGTCTAAAATTTTTAAAAATCTAAATAGGAAATTGATAAATACTAAGCTGAAATTATTTGTAGAATTGCTATAATCGAATTTTAAAATCAGAATTCAAACTAAAGTAAGATTACATTAGAAATTTAGAAATGTAACGTCTTAAAATGTCTATAAAACACATATTTCAACTTTTTTTTAAATTTCGATTTATGGTTTTAGAATTGTTAGAATCGAATTTTAGAATGCAAAATTGAAACTAAAGAAAACTTAAATTTGAGATCTAGAAATGTAACGTTTCAGAATGTCTAAAAACTTAAATTTGAAATCTAGAAATGTAACGTTTCAGAATGTCTAAAAACTAGTACCTTGTTGCAGATTTTTTAAATAAAAAGCATATTTCGACACTTAGAATTTTTTTAAAATTTTGATTTACAGTTCTAGAATTGCTAGAATCTAATTCTAGAATCCCGAGTTTAAACTAAAGGAAGATTACATTAGAAATCTAGAAATGTAAGGTTTCGAAATGTCTAAAAAAAACAAGTACCTTGCTGTAGACTAAATAAAATTCATATTTCGACATTTAGAATTTTTTAAAATTTTGATTTGTAATTATAGAGTTGCTAGAATTTTAGATTCCAAAATTTAAACTATAAAGAAAGATTAAATTAGAACTCTAGAAATGAACGCTTCAAAATGTCTAAAAAACTAGTACCTTGTTGTAGATTTTTTCAATAAAAAGCATATTTCGACACTTAGAATTTTTTAATATTTTTATTTATAGTTCTAGAATTGCTAGAGTCTAATTCTAGAATCCAGAATTTAAACTAAAGGAAGATTACATTAGAAATATAGAAATGTAAGGCCTCAAAATATCTAAAAAAACTTGTACCTTGCTGTAGACTAAATAAAATCCATATTTCGACATTTAGAATTTTTTTTAATTTTGATTTGTAATTCTAGAATTGCTAGAATCGAATTTTAGAATCCAAAATTTAAACTATAAAGGAAGACTAAATTAGAAATCTAGAAATGAA